ACGCCAGGTTTCATCTAGCGTCAAGAGTTAACTCAACTGTGAACTTACTGTATACTTTTAGTTGGGTGGTGGCGCTACCTTCATCTTTTACCACGTAGTAATCAACGTCGCACGTGAATGTACCGGTGTCTTCTACTTCTAGCCTCGTGATACTCAGATCTCCCTGTGAGCCACTGATGCTCGCTCGTCCAGAAAACTGACCGTAGGATGTTTCTGAACCAGTGCCCTCTTTCACCAATATCGTTTCGGTTTCCGATCCCCACTCTGGTGTGAAATCCCACGTGATGACGTACTGAATACCGCCATCAGGTGGTGCTGTGTACTGACATTTCAATATAACTGACCCTCCGTCCAGCCCCTCGTGCAAGGATTTCGTTGTCACGCTTAATCCATATGTAATGGGGGAAACTGTAAGTAAACATAGTTATTGTTTAATTACAACTAAGTCAATAATTATATTCCTATTATGATACTGTGTGGAAATGATATATCATATTTATGTACTAACCGGCAATCCAGGATTTGGTATCTGTTTTGGTTTATTACACATAATGAATATCGTAATTCATATTTCGCGACGGAAATAATTTATTATAATACGCTTTTGAAACTGTCCGAATTTTAGTATAGTACGGCTTGTGTCGCGCTACTTAAAAAAATCAATTTTGTTACTAAGCATGCTACTATAATAACCTATATATCTTCTGATAGCTTTGATATAGGCGAATACGTTAGTACATATGCCTATCCAAAGTTTGAGAAAGGTGTTACCCAACGTCCTGTTTAATTCACAAGACTGAATGTGTTAAAAACGATGTTTCAATTGTTTAAATAGTCGAAAAAACAGAAATTTAAAGAAAGTCTGAATCGCAAATCAATCCTAACTTGTTATATCAATGCTACTGTTATAAACTCCAATTATCGAATATGTCATTGAAAACCTATTCACTACCAGTAGGCAATTCACAATAGTTCGGGTGGACACAATGTGGAATTTGAAATGTGATTATGGTAGTAACACGCGTCAGATATGGGATGCATCATTACACATAACAATACTTTGTATTGTGGGTGCGACCATATACCACCTGCTAACACGAAAATATGTAAACTTACCATAAAGTATCAACACGATGATACACAAGGCATGTCTACCGGACCACCAACAGTTATGGAACACAGTTAACATTATGCCGAGATAAAAATAGACAAGAAAAAAACATTACAGATATATGTGCGCTGGTAACTAACTTAATTAAATACTCGCATGCTACGATTGATATACGACGAATTGAGATACACATCGATGATATTGCTGTCAGATAAGATAGCATAATATCAACATATGCTACATCACACAAGAACAGTTTAATATTTACACGTTTAGCGATTATAAAAATAATGATCTATGTGTATTCTATCGCATGTAAATGACGTTCCCTGGTCGGGATATGACGTATTGAGTTTACACCAGCATTGCGTATATTTTACGTTGAAACAGGGCATGTGGTTGGAAATATACCGCTTGATAAATATAAATACACTACACACTTTTTCTGGGTACAAGTTCCTGAAATGTAGAAATATCGGTGTGATATTGTTATAGTTGAATCTTAAATTTCATTACCCGTCTCCCAATGTTTATCTAGAAAGTTATGACGCACTTAGTCATGTGACGCATTGTTTTAGCAATGTGTTTATTTTTAGAGCCCCGCATCTATTTGTATTGCCTGAGTGTCGATTTAGTAATCGCCGCATACTGTAATATGAATATTAGTAAAAACTAAATTTTTGGTTCGTGCATGTGTAGATTATTCGCACACTTTCTAGTTTCGGGCATTTCTGAACTTTGAACTTGGCTAAGTGTCAAGATGTTACATTTAGGAAACATCACGGGACAGAGGATTGCTGCGATGACGTGGCGTAGCTGTTTTAGTTTAATTCATACTTATTGATCAATACCTCCCAAGTAAAGGAGTTCATCCCATCCGACTACAGTAATAGTTAAAGGGCGGTGGTCGTCGCTAAGCGCGTATTCGTATTTCGTGAGTCCCATATTGAACATGATGCGGCGCGACGACCACGGCCCTTTAACGACTCCAATTGACATGTAGATCTTTTTCATAACATTAAAAACACTGTTTTGATAAATAATAATAATAACTTAATAACAGCACCCGGTACTGAGTTTATTTAATATTTACGGAGCGGCTTCCAACGAGATTAGGTTGCAGATGTCTTTATCTGCACTGTGTGTGCTTTTAAATGTGTATTTGCTTAACGTGCTAACCAATTTTCGACATCGAATACGTCTATACGGCAATCGTTTTTGGAGGTAATATTAGATTTATCAAAACATTGCACGTTAAATAAATTTTAAAATGTGTGGCCACTAGTGGGATATCCAATATTTTCTCTTGTTTCCAAATGTCTTAGCGCGGTCCATTCATGTTCATGCAAAATTTATCGTTTTTTTTTTTATTTTTTATTTATTTTTTTGTATATACCCCATGGCAACATGGTTCTAAATTCAAAATAAAAAGACGACCGTCACTTGGCTCTGTGAAGAATCGTGGAGCATGTGGAGGACATGGTCGCACCACTACCAATTTGAGGATTTGACAACAGGTCTCTTGATTCAAAAACAATACTGTTATTGTTTGTCGTTGAATGTGAGTTCTAAGCATTATTTTGCTGATGTACATATTAAAACAGACTACCGCATCACATCAGGATAGTTCGTAAGGCCATTACAGTAATCAAGGACAGATCAAACATATTCCAGTGGACTTAGGACAGCTCTATTGCTTATCATATTCGTCACTTTAACTGGGAATTATAGACTCCGACAAAAATGGTTTAGTACTTGAAAATGAAAAGAAATGGAACCGCAAACACTAGTAAGATACTCATGTGATAGATTAATAACAAAAACAAAATTAAACCGTTACAGGCAAATTTATGTTCATGGATGGAGACAGTTTTGAAAACAATACTAAATAAAATACAATGTAAACCATCTTTATTTTCTCTAATACATTCTATAATCAAAGGCACTGTATGTATGTTAACAAATTATTACACGATTTAATCTGGTGAGCTGAAACCTGACGGGATAAAACACGTGGAATTTGGAGTGGTATAAATTGCTTTGTATTTTGGAATCTTCTCAAATATATTCAATAGGAAGAACTTAAAAAACGTGTTATTTCAATCTACAGCTTCATGTATAGAGGACAGAAATATTTAATGCTGTACTTAACAACCGGTCTTTAGAACGCCTTTAATATAACACTTTCACCTGAGTTCCCCCCCCCCACACCCTCGTATTTATTAGAAAGGTCAGTATTTTTTTCAGTAGGAACGTCACACTCAGTCGTACGTAAAATAATCCGACGCGTATACATGCGTTCAATCAATGTAAGTTGAGAACTTCTACGCAATTCCCAACACGTTCGACCGTAGTCACTGTTGTAGTTGTAGTTGACTCTCCGTTAGTAGTGGTGGTAGTGGTAGTCGTGGTTGTCGTAACTGAAGTCTCGCATTCACAGTTTGCAGGGTTGTCAGGTTCTCCTGTAATGAACAATGTTAATTCGTTGGTTTGGGTTGAAAAATATTGAAAATATTCAGAGTCGATTGGGGACATAGATTACTCGTATTTTCAAAACTATAGCGTCTGGTATTCTATTTAAATAATCAACATTCAGTATATATTCTTTTTTTCTTTTTATAGACTATGCAAAGTATTCAAATAACATTGGATACGCAAAATTGTTTTAAAGCCATACCTTGTAGTAGATCAATCATTACATAGTCAGATTGTAATTGCTGTATTTCCGGTGTTTGATCAGACTGACACTTCATCGCTTTGTCGTGGTCAGCTACACTAAATGTATAGTCTAGCTCTGACGTTGTGTCGTACGTGCCATCACCATTGTCGATATATGTGTTATTACCGTTGCCCACCACAACATTGTCAAGATACCACACAAGAACCGCCTCTGGGTAACCTCTGTAAGCATTACAGGTCATTGTGGTGACATCCCCAGGTACAACTGATACATATTCACCAGTGGAGTATCCCATTATATCTACGCCATCTACCAGTTCTATTTAAAAAACAAATGAAAAAACATAACATATGGTGACCAGGCCCATGAAAAAAATGACATCATTAATTAGATATATGCTTTGAGCGGAGTCCATATATTTTCTCTATCTTTGTCAAACCTCATTGGCTTTGTGTGTATATCACCGTAGGATTTTAGTTTTTGCGTCTAAAAATCGCCAACTTCCCGAAAGAATTGAAAACCACAATAGACTGTCGTTCATGTAAGCCAACCCAAAATTCGATAATGCTCGTTCAGCAGTTGCCAGCTTATAATCGATGTTGTTCTTATTGCAACACTTCTTGATGTACGTTTACGTGTAATATTACTTCGTTCTATGTATGTTTCATCCGATGACGATCATTACCACTTCTCCCATTCAAAATGTATTTACTTTGTGATTACGACAATAAAAATAATGGTACTAACTGAACATAATTTTATTTGTTTTAATCAACTATTATTAATTAATTAATTGTAGATTATCTTTCAGTTAAATTATAGCATGTAAACACATTCGTTTATAGTGTAGTGCACTTACTATAGACATCGAGATGAGTAATAGCAACCCCCTGGTCTCCAGAAACATAGAAATCGACATCGCATTCATAATTGCCAGTGTCTGATATAACCAGGTTGTCAATCTGCAGACTAGCATAATCTCCAGCCGTTGACACCCTACCAGCGTATTCACCAAAGGATTGTTCCTCGCCACCATTGTTTATAAAGATCGTGATTTTATCGGAACCTTCTGTGATGTAACTCCACGTATAGATATACTGGTCTGCAAACTCAGCCGGTTCATCATAGCTACAGTTAAGTACCACGCTCCCGTCGACTAGACCTTCATGTAGAGGATATGTCTCCACTTCTAACGCCTCAGAGTTTGGTATCTGAAGAACTGTAAGCCCAAATATATGATGGGTGTTGTTAACAATTGTGAATAGAAGTCATCAAGCAGTAAATTATTTTTCAGGATTTGATTTGATGTCTTATGGAATGGTATTTAGTAACATACATTTTATTAGGAACCACATATTAGTAGGTTTCGACATTAGGAGTAAATAAATCATTTTGTGCGTATCGTTATATGTATGGGAATGTGACGTTTTTGGAACTACTTTATTGCATGCGTCAGAATACATACTTTTGTAATGGTGTTATATGTCACCTGATCACCCAAGTGTATTGATATGTAAAAAGTAGTGCGGTTGGGGTAACTGAAAATGGCGGAATAAACAAGAAGTTAAACTTGAAAGCTCTCTGCTTTCTTTGATGTTTTGTGGGTTTCTGAGTCAACACATCACAGTGAAATTATATTAAAATATTTAATGTTTGTGGTATTTATATAATAATGTCGAGGGAATTGTGACAGCAGACTTATTATCATTTTGTCTGAAATGTACATTGACTTGAAATTAAAGATGTGTGTAGCCATATCGTGTGTTCATAGAAAAAAAAATCAATTTTTGTATCGAATATTAGTTAGTATATACCATTTGCATGTTATGTGTTTCAAACGTCATAGTGGCCAAATTGAAACCCCATTAACATATATTGTATTAAGCTGTAAAATGTGTCGCAAAGGGTTTACTCGTCAGAAGAGTTATTACTCTTAAAATGTATATAAACTTACCGCAAAATGAAATTACCAGCGTCGATAAAAACGTAAAATATCTACCAGACTGCCAACCCCTATACGAAACAGACAACATATTTGGGACAGGACGTTTGCATTCAATCTGCTTCAACCAATGTTACCTTGATATATGTTTGGTTTTTCAACCGATATCAGATGTTTTTCATAATTCAATCTGTCTAGTTTATCATATTTGTTGATAAGATACAGTAACATCTGTTATATTACACAGTGACGCTAATTTCTCCATATTTGGTATCAACAACACGCAGACATGTGATTAGATATCATTAGCTGTGTACTGAAAAGAACATAGTCATTTGTAGTGGGAAAATTATGGAAGCCCATAATTACTGTTGAATGTTATGGTTGGGTATATTTGAACAATAAGATCTCCAAAGGTACATGCTTGGGCAAAAAATGCGAAGAGCCATAAAAAATAATAAGTCACATGTCTATGTAATAATTTTCGATATTTTCACGTTAAATTCTGCCAATGGTCACGAAAAAAAAGACAAAGTCAACACCAGAGCGATGTGCCGCTGCTAAGTTTAATCTGTGTTTGTTTTGATAAATTGACCAGGAATTTAGCATGACGTTTCTATATAGAACAACACATTAAAAACACAAATCATGCAGCTATGAAAGGCATTGAAAACACAGATCGAAAGCGAATAAAAATGTTTGAAAATTGCTGCAGCAATGATACTCTGTAGATGCCTGGTCTTGGTTAGTGGTTTTTGGTGTCACTAACACACACATTTATGATATCGATGTCTTAAACATCCCTACGTTTTATAACAAGCCACGCTGCTGTCCTCCTTGGGGTACGCCACTTCCTACCTAATTGTTTGGTTTGTGTTTTCTTCCTGAGTTTGAGAATCTGTGGAAGGGAATAAAATATTATGTTTGTCCATGGAACAAACAGCAGCAGTTGTAATTAATAAGAAGTAATAATATCTTATTTACAGTGTATTTAGATGATCTTAGTAAGAATTTATCAGCTCTTCCATATGGTTGTTTACTCGGCCGCTACAAGGTCAACCACCTGATATATGCTGATGACATTGTCATTTTTTATACTGGATCATATGTTCAGCAGATGTTAGTGAATGCATGTGGCCAGTTTGGTAACCGGTGTTCAGTTCTCTTTAATGAAAAGAAGACTGTATGTAATAATAATAATAATAATAATAATAATAATAATAATAATAATAATAATAATAATAATAATAATAAT